TCCTCGGCACGGGCCGCCCGCCGCCGGTGTGCCCAGGGAGGGCAGGGCTGCGGCATGCGGTGCGGGAGTGAGCAGGTGCTGGCCGGCCGCCTCTGCCATCCCGAAACGCGTTTGGTTTCGGCTGTGAAAGGATTCTGGCAGGAGGCACCGGGTCTTGGGCACCGGGGACTGCCGCCACAGCCGCCCGCTGCCAGCCCGCTGTGCCGCTGCCCAGGCGTGAAGCAGAGCCTCGCCCGGCCGGCTGTGCCCTGTTACGGCACCTGCGGCGGCTGCTGCTCTGTCATGGCAAGCTGGGATCGCAGGTAGACAAAGGACTTGCATGTCCTTAACTCAAAGAGACACGCAGGAGAGAGCAGATAGTTTGAAACAAACACCGCAACGTCATAGTGACTGAGATGGGAAGACGCTTGTGGAGGCTGCCTGGTCCAACCATCTTCCTCATGCAGGGAAAGATGCTTTTTGCTGAGCCGTGGCAGGCGTGGCTTCAAAGCCATGCTCACTACCACCCTCATGCTTTGCTCTCTAACGCACAGTTAAGGGTGACATGGTAGAGCCGCATCCCTCTACCCATGAGGATGTGTTTTTTCGAGGTGTGGTGATGGGGATCCTGGTGGTTAATGAGGGAAATTTTCTCCTAAGAGTGAATTTGGTAGGTGATATACACGGTTCATATATGCAGGGGCAGGATACTACTGCATAGGGTCTCTCAGTAACCAGTGCAGTAACACTGCCTAAAAAACCCGAAGTCCTTAGCGGCTCAAATGTAAGACAAAGGAGGATGTGACCACCATCAGATTCCCTGTGCATTTATACCTGTGTCAGTGGTAGAGGTGTGTAAAAAGTGAAGATGTCATTTTTTGGGCACACCTTGGTAGGACTAGGCAGGGCAGGGCCATCTGCAGTCCAGCACTGTCCAGTGAAAGGGTGAAAGATGGAGAACGTGGTAAAGCAAATGGGCCACAAGGCCAAGTATGAAAAAATAGATTGATGAACTCTGTAAAGGATAGGTTAGTGACAGGGGAATCCTACCTACTGTCAGTGGTTGCCAGTACAAGCAAACTCCAGGGGAAAAATTTCACAACCTCCAGTTGCGATCAAACATTGGTGTCCTTGCGCTACCCTTGACAGTGCCTCTGTTTCCCTTTCCTTAGGCAACCCTTGGCACCTGTCTGCTTGACACCAAGACCGAACTAATTCAGAGAATGAGCCCTGTAGAAAGCTGAAGAGTCACAACCCCACTCCCCATGGGGTCAGACCAATGCATACAGAGACAGGGATCAGGACCAGCCTGATCAAGAGCTGATGTTGTTCCCACAGAAGCCAATGGCACATCTGAAAGCCAACAGAAGTTAAGCTTAGGTACATAAAAAGTCAGAAAACCATTCCTGAACCTCTCCCTCCCTGAGGCTCAATAGAGTTTGGGGGCTGTGTCATGTCATCATCAGCCTCAAAAACATCAGAGAAGTCTCTCTGTAAGGCCAGGAAGAATAGCCATCAGATTTAATGTGCTGTCCTTCTTTCTCCCTCCCTACTGCTGAAAAGCACAGCAGTGAGCTTTATCTCAGATACTGTCTTTAATATTTCATTGGCAAAGCTCTCCAGAATGTAATTTACTTTTTTCTCATGCCACACAAAATATGAATGAGGTCCAAACAGTATGAATCACGGCTTGCCATAACTGCTAAACACATTGTATCCCCAAAGTGAAAGTTGTCAGAAACTCTGGCAAGAAGGATAAAAAGTAAATAATATCCATAATAACTGCAGGGATCTGTGTTGTGCTAAGAGATCCAGGATAACTGGAAGGCCTTGTGGTCAATTTGCTGGAAGCCTGGGTTCATTAATTTACTTCCCCATAACTCAGTTCCTTTATCTGAAAAACATGAATAACACTATTTCGGACCTTTATTCAAAGAGCCCTGGAAAAGTACTGTGCATGGGAAGTTCATGTGAAATTATTATATTAGGCAATACAGATGTAATACAGGTATATCTAACTTAGTATCTGACATTTTTCTGAATAGGAAGTGTTAAACATCCTCATTCTTCTGAATGGGAAGGGTGATCCTCTGTTGTAATTTAGAGTTTTGTGATTCTCTTCAGGATGCCTACTTCAGCCTGCAGTAGCCTTCCCATATTAAACTTTTCATTAAACTTTATATTATATATAAATATATATATATTATATATAAAAATATTTATATTAATATTTTTATTAAACTTTTATTGCATTCATGCAACGTTTTACAGTGAAAGGGCAAAAATCAGAGTGGAAGAATATAATTGACCAAAATTCAAAAGCAATGAGAGGAAATCCACTTCTCTCTTACACATTTACCCTTGTGTATAATATATCCTTTGCCTTTCCACACATCTACAGTGGGAATCCTGATACTGTTGCCAGACCTGCCTCTCTTACCCAGTTATTCCAAAAAGCGATTGCTTTAGTTCTTCAGCCAATTGTTTAATAAATAAAACCACAGAAATAAATAAAACTAATAAAATACCACAGAATGCATTTATTGGGGCAGGTCTTCAGTAAGCCTAAATCCTCATAAAGTGTTTATTTGTTGTCACTTCTCAAGATTCATTGTTACTTCTCTTATTCCTTGTGCTTAGTATCTGCATGGTTTTTTATATTTTGAAAGTTCATTTTAAAAAGCAAGCTATCTTGAGATGACTGGAGTGAATAAATGAACTCAGAAAAAAGAGAAAAGCTCTCACTGAATCTCATAGTCTTCAGTCAGTATCCCTGAAAAGAGATCACTTTAGCACTGCCTGTAATCCCACAAATCCAGGGATTTTCCTACTTCTTTCTGATATGAGGATCATAAATTGAGTAATCCCCACTTCTTGACTTCGCACACAAATGTATCTGGCAATGTCAAGCCTTCAACAGCAGTGACCGTCTTCTAGGCAATTGCCTGAAATCTAACAACCAACCAAACTGATAACGAAACTGAACCCTCTTAAAAATTCGACAAAACTTCTGCTTTGACAGTATGTTTAGCTTACTATGTTAAAAATAAGTAAGTAAATACTCTCCACTTCTTATCTTCAGATCTCACTTTCTCTGAACCCTAAGGTCACATGCAGCCATAGGCAGAAGGCATGTCAGCTATCCATGATCTGTCAGGAACTGATAAGACCTGGGCTGGGTTCCTGGGAAGCAGCGTCACAACTTAGCTCTCAGAGGTGGCAAGAAGGGAGATAAAAAAGGATGATTGGTCAGAAATAGCCAGTGGGATGGTTTTCCTCTGAAACAGAGTAATTTGACAGAAAGGAACTTTTCCATCAGAAATAAGTAACAAAACTTTAACATTCATAAATAGCAGTGGGTTTGTTTTCTAACTGTGCTGGGAGGGAGATCAGTGGTAGGGAAAGACCTCGGAAGACTCACACCCTTTCTTTTAATATTTCTATTTGGTAATAAACATTGCCAAAGCATTTCAAAACCCGTTTTCTCTGGTTAGAAGAGATAACACCTTGATTTACTGCCATGCAGCCTCAGACCAAAGTTCATTAATAATTTGATAAATTCACCGTCTTAAGGCCAAATTTGGCTTTGACTGTATCTCTGTGAATCTGCAATAGCTTCATCAAAATCAATGATTTTGCAGCAAGCTTTAAGTCCTGAAGATGAGGGGAATTACCACTGTGGTTTACTTCAGCAAAAATCAGCTTTCAAGAAGCTGCTCTCAACAGGCAGAGTAGCTGGAAGACTGCAATTCTGCCTTGTGCTCCTCTTGCTTCCTCTTTCCATTAATGGATAATATCAGCAGTTTATAGAGTATGCCAGGATGTGAGGGCTGAGCCAGAAGATGAGACCAAAGTGGCACAAAGAAGGGCTTTGCAGAAGGCAGGGCTTAAAAAAAAAAAAAAAAAAGAACCAACAATTCAGACAGAAGGAACAATGCCAGAGAATGGCTGCAAAAAGCATGTAGGATACTTTAGATGTAGGTTAGCTGCCATGGCAACCATGTACCAAATTGCTCCACTTATGTGTCTCTAAACCTGCCAGCAGCTAATTTTGTTTGTAGGTACTTCAGGCTTTAAAACAAATTAAGCCACCTTAAAACTCATGAGGGATTGCAAATGACGTGCAGATACTGAGACTGCTGTGGGATGCTTGGTTTATACCATTTAGAAAATAGAGATAGAAAAAATAATAGCCCTTGAAAATTCTGATTTCAGTAAGTGGCTAAAAAATATATAGATTCTTTAATGTTCATAGGAGGCAGTTTTAACCCTGCGTTTCTACTGCTTTGCCTTGCACATATTTATCAGCCTGATATCTACCTGATACTTTTACCTCAAATGTGTTTATAAGAAAGAAAGTGGTCTCAGCAGCAGCTCTGCTAATTTTTCACTGCAGGAAACTGCCATGTTATAAAAAGACATTTTCTTTTATTCCAGGATTCTTTGGAAGCACGGTAAAATCTTAGATCCCTACGGAATAGAAACAAGGCTATCAAAGAGCATGCTGCAAGGCACATGCATATTATTAGTTACTAAGAATAGTCCATTGCTGAGTGTGAGTGAAAATATCCAAATGCATTCCCTTGATAAGTTAAGCATGTATTCCTCTCTCTGGGCACACGTCAAAGTGTCCTCAAATGGAAAAATAATGTTATAATAGCCTAACCTTTACTTCCAGGCCATGTACATGTAATCCTAGAGAAACACAACAGAGCCTTCACAACACCTCTGTGGAGGAGGCCTACAGACCATTATAGCCACTGGACTCCTCTTGAAAACTCTGCAGGGTAGAAAGAGGTCTGTTTTTGATCTTCCCACTGAAAGTTGGTGAACATCATTGAGGTGTTCAGCCATTACTTGAGAGGCACTAGGGCTTGACCCCCCAAAATCAGCAGACATCTTTGAATCAAGTGCACAAAAAGCTGTGGTCAATGCCAGGAGATTATTCCCCATCCCTCCATCATCAAATGGTACTCACTGTAGAGTGTGGTATTCGGTAATCAGGGCCTGCCTCCTGGCAAAATGCTGGACAGAGATCTTTATTTTGATGGCATTTTCCCTGTAGCTTCTCCTTAATGGGATTTATCATAAGATCTCCTGTGTTTGAAAAATTGAAAACAGTTCTCAATTCTATATTATGTTTTCTTGGCCAAAATTTAAGATAAATAGCCCTTAAATATCACATATGAAAAACTAATACAAATAGTTATGTGACCACATTCTCCAAGAACATCCAGCTACCTTGTGAGACCCTTGCAGTGTTGCTTTTGTGGCTCACTCTTGATACAAGAGCGTTATCGTGCAGCATTAAGTATTTGTGTATTAAGTATTAATGATTTTTCTTGCAGAGTTTTCGCTTGGTTTCATTATTTTAGCCTGTTGCAGTTATCTGTGTCAACAGAGTTGCTCCAAAGTTGCTTCCAAGCTATGTGGTTACCTTGTGTGTGTAGGTGTAAACCCTTAAGATGTTCTCAGGTTAAGAGGCAAACTCAGTGCCCCTTCTGCCCCTCCTGCCTTCTGCAAGTTATAGTTAAAAATCTGTTTTCTTTCTAAGTATATAGCACCTGAGACACCTGGATCAGTATGATTGCAACTGCTCTTGGCAGTGGTTAAGTACCTTTGTGGGTGTGAATCAAATCAAGCTCAGGAAGCAGTAACAATGCCAAGACTTCAAATTCTGCTGTTTGAAAATCCTTGTTCTAACATCATCCCCTGCTGAGCACTGTGTCTCTTGAGAAGATCATCCACTGCTGACAAACCATCCCATTGATGTGACCCTGTTAAGCACAGATGAACACGTGATGTTGATATGCAAACCTGTGCTCCTTCAGGGTCATTAAACCCATATTTTCAGATGCTATAATATCCATTATGCTTTGTCTGGCATTACAGGTGCAGTCATCAGTAAAGCTGTGTCACAGAAGCATTACTAGTCTGGGATGGCTACTGTTTGCTTTCAGGTTGGCAGTTCACTGGTCTTATTTTCAACAACTTCCAAGCTGAAGGAGTGCCTCCTTCCAAGGGAATATCTGCTGGAACTGCTGATACTCTCTTCTCCACTTAGACTCTGCTCTCTAAGCTGATGTCTGTCTCTTTGCATCTACTGGACACCTTGCAGTTGCAGGAGATATTGCTACATCTGCCTCTGAACTCTTCAGGTGTTACTGTGATGTTTTATTGTGGTGTTTTGGACTGTCGGTCAACTCCCATGCTAAAGCACCAGAACACCAAGTAAGCTTCTAAGCTGGCAAGGGTTAATCCAGGGTCTCCTTGTGGTCTCTTCTGAGGCTTTTTTGTGTGTTCTGATGCTTTGCCCCTTGGTCTGGAACTTGAGACATTGGTTCTTGGGTTGTGTACCTCCATGGTTTCGCTTTCCTTTGTGACTGCAGGTTAGATCTACTCTCTCTAAGTGTTCATTTCACATAAGGATGTAAGAGCAGCTGTTCTAGCCATTGCAAAGATCTGTACAGCTCCATCTTCCCTCAGCAGTGGCAAGCTGTGGACACCTATGAGAAACAGGGTGAATACAGAAGGTTCCTTCCTCTTTTAATATCTTCTCGTTTCTGGCAACCAGCAGGTCAAGTTTGTGAGCCAAGGGCACACCCTGTCCCTGAACTGAATGTTAAGCTGGTGTTTTTGTGGTAACATTTACAATGACTGCAAGATCTCTTTCTCAAGTGACATCTGCTCATTCAGAAGTAGTTATTAGGGCTACATTTATTAGGGCTGTATTTTTCACATATGCACTCTTTTGTATTTATCAGCATTGTATTTTTCTGCCATTTTTCTACCCAGTTAATTGATAATGTGAGATCCCCGTGTTACTTTCTCTGGCAGGTTTTGGTTTTGGCTGTTGGAAACAGCTTTGTATCATTAACCACTTTGGCTTTTCACCATCTTTTTCCAGCCCATTTTTGGATGTGTTGGACAATACAGGACCTGTCCTGATCTCCTGTGCTTGCCTTTTTGAAAATTCCTTTAATTGTGAAAAATGATCAGCAGCTCCCTTTGTTTTTCATCCTCTAACCTATTACTAATTCACAAAAGGATCTTCCTTCAAACTAAGGCTTTTTAATGATCCTTCTGAGGTTTGGAGAATCCTGTGAAAAGATTTCTGAAAAATGCCATTACACAAATGCAGGGGGGAATCAGAATAGGGGGAATGATGGAGAGCAAGGAGATGTATTCGTCTTTGAGACCAGAAAGGTTTTAGTCTTCTTATGTTTAAACTTCCCCTTAGCCTGAGAAAATGGTCTAGTCTTCCAGAGCACTACTTGTGAAAAGGCAGCATATTTCCAGCAAAATCCATCTGGCAATGCTGATAACGTGGGCTGAATGTTCAGCTTATGAGTAGAATTACTAAGTTTTTTTTTTTCATTTACTCATTTCTTTGAACCCAGTTTTGTAAGCAACAATACTTTTGTCTCTTCATAGTGAACAATTGTACTCTGTTCATAAAGAGTCAAACCCACTGTGAGGGAATGCAATACCCAAACTCCAGTTAGACTCGGGTGGGGTTAATGCAAGTTTATACTGAAGTCCATGAAGGCATAGTCAAGGCTTGCATTTTTACTGCCTAACAGGAACAGCTTATGCTGCCAGTGAAGTCAGAGTAGCTTAGTCACTGATTTCAGGAGGAAAAGGAACACCATTTGTCATACAAGATTCCCTTGACCTATCTTTTTGTAAATAATGAAAGAAGACATTTCAGGAAATTTCACAGTGTCTTTTTTCACTTGATTATTCTTCCACCTGCCTTGATGGTTACTTTATTTGTCATCTGTCAGAAAATGAAACTCAGTTTATACTCTTAATATCCGAATAGAGCTATAATGCATGTACATGGACTTGCATTTAGGAGTGGTGCCAACACTGAGTAATTTTAATATATTATATGGTTGATAATATCTGAACAAATACTCTACAATAAGTCACTATAGAAATGAAGGTATGTTTCCTGTGTGGCTTACAATATTATACTAAAATACAAAAGAAACCTGACTGGGTTTCAGTTATGAAATAATAGATACTGAGCCATTTTCAGGTTTCCTCCATATTGCCGAAGTGTTTAAACAGGTGTGTTTCACAAAGTTTGTGAAACAAAAGCTCACCTCAAAGTAAATCAACATTAGGAAGCAAAACCAGTGCTGAGTGATAGTGCTTAAAAACTGAGAAACAAGAAGGGTTTTAAACAGCAACTGAAAAGATGCTTTGATGGTTTTTAAAGCACTCCCCTATAGTCTAGAAACATGTTAGAGTTTTCTGAGATTACGTAAAAGACACTGCATCTTTTATCAGGCTGGCTCTGTAATTTGGATTATGCCTATCAAACATGAACATTTTTATTGTAATATGAGCATGTCAGCAGTTTTTGAAGGTTAAGAAAATATGCTTATGAGCCTAACTGCTAAAACATTCTTTTTTATCTGGAGCATTACCTTATGTGTACAAATGGGGGGAAAGGGCAATAAACCTAAAAGCCTTGTTAACTTCACTTAACCAACCATTATACTTACAGTTTGTAGAAACAGGCAAACCCCTTGGCAGTGAATGCAAGTGTAGGCCGAATATTGTTTGCTGAATTCAAGGGATGTCTGTAATCAATACCTTAACTTGATGACAGCTGAGAAAGTACCTTTCCCTTGCACTGTGAGCTGAGCACCTCCCATTGCTGCAGAACGACAGCTGGCCTCCCTCTGAAACACACAGCAGTAGCACTGGCAGGAGTATTTGGGTCAAAGACTGCTAGCAGAAGCAGAGGTGGATAACGTCACCTGAGGAGAGATTAAGAAAATCTTAAGAATTCTGTCTCATTTTACATAAGTCCCTAAAACCTTTAATTCATTTGAGTTCACTGAAGGAAAATTGCTTCATGCCTTTAAGTGTACAGAAACCTTGTGACAGCAGGGCTTGCATTGTGTAGTTCTCTGACATGACTTAGGAAGATAAGACATGAACAATAGGGAGTTATTAACATGAATAATTTTCCATGCAAATTGGAAGCATTGCAGAACAATAGGATGGCTCTGGCTTAATGGCATCAGGTTTTCTGCAGAGTTGAATATAAAATATCACAGTAGGAAAGAAATAATGGAGTCAAAAGCTGCTAGAAAACACTGCTTTGAAAAATTAGCTCAGGCAGGTGGACCACAAGATCCCCTTTCCTGGAAGTGTTTCCAGAGATTCAGTGCCCAGAAAACACACCTGGAAAGCCAGAGCTAAAGAAAAACCACAGATTTTCCAAATCTAATGAAGTTTACAAATACAATGCATGAACCTAAACATCTTCACCTTCTAAACATATTCACCTTCTTTCCACACCTTGGGGTCAGCAGGATTATGACAGATGCATTTGCATCTACATTAATCAAATATGTTGCATCCTTCAATGTAGGAAACAGAGAAGAAACATAGAAAGATGAGCAAGTTAACTTTTTTCCATGTCTCTTTGTGTGTTGTCATATTCAGGAGAAAGGATGTAGGAAGGAGGAGAGCTAGTGGAAGATGTAATGAAAGCTACATGTTCCTTGGGGTAGGTATTTGCTGATCTGGTTTTCCCAAGACTGTATCTCTGTTACATGATACAGTTCGCAGCTGAGCCGCAGAGCTGGTGCTAGTCCAGGTGGCAATATCTTACACTGGTTGAAACACCAATCCCAAGAAGCTCAAGGGAGAAAAAGTTCTCACAAAAAAACCCCAGCTGTTCCACTGCCTGTCTGTTCTGTTGTCTTTTTGCTCTCCTCCACTTACACACACCTGACACCTGTGGGAGTGATCCAACACAAGTGTTTCCATTTGACATTTTGGTGGACAGTCTATGGAGCAGCAGGATGCTCTCTGAAACAAGCAGACCTCTTTTGATTTATTCACTCCAACAGTGGGGATAAGTTTAGAGCACAAATGACAGGAAATAATTTTTTGTGCAGTTCATCAGCAAACAGAACCGACCAAAGCACCAACTAATGTGGAACAGGAGCTTTGACATGCTGCCCATGCTGAATATTCAGTGCTTCTCTGCCTGTAAAAGGAATTCAAAATAGAACATTCATAAAAAGGGTTGATCTTGCTGAGTAAAATCAAACTACTGTATGATTGTGTGTTCAAAAACTCCCAATGTAGTTTATGTTCTATTGGAAACCAAAAGGTGACAACCAGCCAGTCCCAGTCCATCAAGTGCAACACTGACTGAAATCAGCAGAGCTGAATCACTTGCCCCTAAGTCTAAAAGGTTTCCAACAAATTGCTGACATAGAAGAGGTCACTCAACCATTTCTAGTACTCAGGAAGGAGTTGGGGAGAGATAGAAGAAATTATACCCTTAGAACAAGATTGCTGTATGTCTTTGGGATGTGTATATTGCTGCTGCCTCTGTGAGCCTTTCTGTGGTTACAGGGAGGATTTCAGTCTCTGTGTGCCTTCTGGTGCACTTGGCAGTCTGGCACCTTCAATGCATACTTGATTCTCTACTGAAAGTCTTGATGCTAATTCTTAAAATTAAGAAGCTGTTTTCCTCTGTCCACGTGAAATGAGAAAGAAAGTGAAAATTTGTTTGCACATCAACTTCTGTTGCAATGATGAATCATCACTCAATATAACAGCTTTTGTATTTTGTACACAGTTTTTCTGCCTATGTGGAAAAAAGATTACCCTGTTTCTGCAGTCTGATAGCATCCAGCCAGACCTCTAAAGTTTGTGATGTCTTCTTTCCTTCTTGAAACTTTTCTCTACAATATCATAGTATGTCCCTTGTTATTTTCTATGCAAACACCACTTTGAGAGTGACTGAAATATAATGTGACACAAAGGGAGTGCTACTGTATACATTGAGTCAAGGTGTAAAAATCCTTGCTGCAAAAACCCAAATTTTTTGTGCAAAACTGAATCAAATATCACCTCCTTTAGTTACTCACCTAGCTGCACAGAGGTAAAATCAGGAGAAAACCTCTTCTTCAGCACAAGTGATGATGACAGCTGTTCCTAGGTGGAAGGTGGAATTCTTCCATGGTGACTTCAGAACAGTGTCAGATTTAAACTGGCCTTTAGACACAGATCTCTTTTTAGTGAGCCTTCAGTGACCCTCTCGTGATGTTAGTTTGCTGGCTGACCAGCAAGAAGATTGCTATTTCAGCAAAAATGCAGGAGAAATGGTGACAGCTGCATCGGCAGCAGCAAAGTCAGAAGCACTACACTTCTTAGAAATGAAAGACAGACTTTGAAGCTACTTCAAGATTAAGAAGCAGAAGAAAACTGTCCAGTTCCTGAGACCAGGTACCTTAGCTGCATCCAAACATAAGCTTGACTGGAGCCTCACCTCACAACTACGTTCACTTGCACTTTGGCAGTGAAGCCTAGACGCACGAACTTGTGAGGAGCTAATGTACATTCCAGCAGGTGATCTAAGCTTAGACAAGGTGCGTGTCTCTCCCTAGGACCTGAAATTTTACTCACTAGTTGAACATCCAGGATGCTGTTTAGCTGTAAGCCTGATACTTGCTTTGCATGCTTGTTGTGTCCCTGTGGCATTCAAGCTATTGTTTCATTATTTTTTGGGCCCCTGAGACACCCTTTTGATAACAAGGCAGAGCATAATGGCATGGAGGTGATAAAACTGAGCTGATCTAGCACTAGTGTGTAAGTAGACAGCATTACTAATTGTGCAATGTAACTCTCAGTCTCAAATATTATTACTTATGCATTTTTTCCATCACAGTTAATATTCTGAGTAGTTTCAATTGTCATCTATGGGTAGAATTTTCAAAACCGCAAACTGTCAGCCTAACTCTGCTTTCAACAAAATCTACAGTATTTTTATTGACCTTGAGTTTGGGTGATGGCTGTGCACTATAAAGCATTTCATTGTATTGGGCCAAAAAGAACCTCCAAAAGAAGACCTGCTTCCGAAAGCATTTTGCTAATTAAATCTTTCATTTTAATTCTGTCTCTGCTTCCCCAGAGTATTTTAAACATTGGGAAAGGTATCTGACCATGAACATATCAGACAAATGGGGACAAAAACCTGGTTTAGAAATGTGGACAGGTCAACCATTGAAAGGGATAACATCTGCAGAGTCACATAATTAACTGTCTGTCTACCAATGCAAATAAATTATAAGTTTTCTTATCCCTAGTGCTCATAGGAGCCTTTTCTAAAAGTCTCAACTCTTTCTATAACATACTTCAAGGGCTTATACTAAATTGCTTTTGACCTGCCATTTCTGAAACCTCATTCACTGACAACTTCTGGCACTTTGTCCTAATGCTGAAATCATGCCTTTAAAATTAATGATTGCACCATTCTCCAACATCCTACATGGTCTTCTAGAGTTTCACGCCTCATCGTAGGGAGGGTGGTTAAGCACTCAAACAGGTGCCCAGAGAGATTGTGTGCAACCAGAACCCAAGTGGGCAAGGCCTGAGCAACCTGATCTGTGTGTGTGACATGCTCCCTGTTTTGAGCAGGAGCTTGTACTACATGACCTCCAGAGATCTCTTCCAACTTCAGTTAAGTCTTGGACTCAACAATTCTGCTTCTTTTCCCGGGTACCATCCACTGCTATGGGATATTTCACATAAAAATACGGCCACTGTAGCTCTCCCCTGCTAGCCTTGACCTTTCACAATTGTTTTTTTCCTGGACCTTCCCCCTGCCTTCCTCATAAATACCTGATGCAGTATTTTCTCATGGTGTCTAGCCATCAGCTTGAAGACAACACAGACAGAATTTCAAGCCTTTCTTCCAAAATCCTCAAGTTCAGTCTCACTGTTAGGTGCCACCTTTTTCTTATCCAGCTTTTTAAGACTACATATTCAAGCTGTATCTAAACATTGCCATTTCTTTGTACATCAAATCTCTTACACTCATCCCTCCCTTTCAGTAATGAGGGACCTAAGATAGGGTTCCAGAGATGTGAGGTTTATATTAGTATTACATCTACTTCTGTACATCATTTTGTGGGGGCTATTTGGTTGGGTTTTTTCTGCACTTTTTGGTGACTCACTTGAGATATTCTACAGTTTCACAGATTTTGTTTTGCTTTCCATTTCCTTTTTCTTTTGTTAAAAGAAAAAATTTTAAAAAAGGTAATTTCTATAAACTAAAATTAAGATTAATACCATGGTCTTAGCCCTCCTTCTAGTTCTAATGTCACATCTTAACTATTGGATGACAGGAAGGGTGGCTGCAAAGACAGTGGATTTAAGATTCGTAACTTAAACTTGGTGGTGTTTCCTGCATTTCAATAGGTCCACAGTGCAGAGCTTCATATGAATTAGCAGTGCTTCAGCTGGAATACATGAAGACTTTGAGACATCTAATTTACATTTTCAAAGCAGAGTTCTTTATTTAAGCCTGCCTTTGGTATCTATTTACCTATTGATGTCTAAAGGGTAAAACAAAAGCTAAAAACTGCATCTCAGAAAAATAGGCATAACACTGTTTCCACCCTCTTAACCTTCTTCTGGGTATGACAATCTTAATATCTTTCCAGCAAGGAATATATTTTATTATATGTTTCCAAGGCATAACTGGATATCCACTCTTTTGAATGAGTGAAGAGATTTGAACAAAATGAAACAACCAAACAACAAAACGCCACCAACAGGTTGTACTGCTTCAGCTTTTAAAGGGCAGCCTTTTGAGAAATGCATATTTTCTAATGCTTCAGCCTTTCAGAGGAGAATCTACTTTCTAAGAAAATCAATGAGAGTAACTTTTGTTATTTCATCTTGGTCCTGTAAGTTAGGCTAGGAAATGCAGCTGAAACTAAAATCTT